CCTGGAACTTCTTTTTGGCATAGCCGTTCCTATTGGAAACTAAGGCACAACGCGCAAAACCAGAATGTACGCTACCAAGCCGACCAAAGTTCGAAAAAGATGGCTTATGCCAAAACCTGCACATACCGTGTCTCGCCCCCAGAATCGTGTGTGCTAAGTCAGGCAAACAACTAACGCGCGTACGCTCCCACTCCCACAACGACACACTCACATCGAACTCTTCCTCTTTCTTCCTCTCTCTCGCTCTCCTCCCGTCTCTTTCTCCTCTTTCTCTTTCTTTCTCTCTCTACCTGCGGACCTGTCAGTCACACGTCATGGTTTACCGATCCTGACAAACATGCTCTTACTCAGACATGTGGATGAGCTCAGGGCAGGTGAACCGCCTCCGCTGGATGATCAAGCTTGAGCAGCTCCAGGTGGTCAAGGCGTAGCAAGCCAACAAACATGCGCTTACTCCGACATGTGGATGAGCTCCGGGCAGGTGAACCGCCTCCGCTGGATGATCAAGCTTCAGCAGCTCCAGGTAGGTCAGGGCGTAGCAAGCCAGCAACCTGATCAAGGATGTGTCCGACAAAACGAAATCTGTGCCACGTCCAGCGAGCGTACAGTGCTGCTCAAAGCAACGAGGCCTTTAGAGAGGACGTACAAGACTTGCACGGTTGAAGGTCTCCTGCTTGGCGAAAGCGTTCACGTTCAGTGCTGGTCAAAACAACGAGGCCTTTAGAGAGGTCGTACATCTGCACGCTGTGGAATGTCTCATGCTGGGCGAAGGCCTTCACAAACGGCAGTAGCAGGCTGGCACAGAAAGAAAGGCGAGTGACACCCAGGAGCCTTCTTGAGGACTGAAGCATTCGGACCTGAGCGCAGGCTTTGCCGTGCTTCATAGAGGATCTGAAGTCGCCACTACGGAACTAACCTCGTTGCCTCGTTGCCGCCGAAGATGTACAGTTTGCTTGCACAACCTGAACCATCCCAAGCAAGAGCCCGCACAGCACCAGTGAAGCAGCTACAGGGTCCCAGCTTGCCGAGTTGAGCGTGCCCCGGACGAAGGTCTCCAGCATCTTGCGGATCCGAATCCAGCGAGCGACACAGCTGTTCAAAAACAACGAGGCCTGTAAGAGGTCTCCCCAGCGGTCCACCAGCATTTTTCGAGTCCTAGCAAACATGCTCCAACTTCTGTTTTTCTTCAACTTCTCCCTCCGAAGCCTCCTTCCAGACGCACGTTGCATCGAAACCTTGGCAAGTGACCGCAAGGCGGACAGACTTCTTGGCAACAAGGGTTGCTCCCAAAGGACTGCGTGCAAAAACAGCATGTCTCCAAAACATGCCTTCAAATCTTTCCGCAAACTGCCTGAAAGCAACGTGTTGCACAAAAACGTCTTTAGATAGAGGACATGCGCTCAAAAACAGCAATTGCGGAAATTCTGCCTAACAAATCTGCCCAGTTGAACAGATTCACACATATGGTTGCGGAAACTGTCCTCCCTAACGCTTCCTGCAATCTCACTACAACAATCATGATGCCGACGCTCACGTCTGCTGTTTTGATTTGCGTCAAGGCCAGTTACAAGCCCTGTCTGAAAGCTTCTAGAATCTCCGGCGGTGTTCGCCACACTGGCGATGACAATGCGTCGCTCTGCGAACTGGAGACGGCTTGAGCACTCTGAGATCGGAAAGCTGCGTGGATCTCCGGCGGCGTTTCCCAATGAGGCGACAAGAGCCGAGAATTTTCTGGCGATGTAGGAGGTGGGCCTAGCGGTGTCCACGGCTGCGCAAGCTCCTCGTCCAAATGTTCAAGCGGTGCTGCTGTCCGCGGCGGTGTCCACGCAGGCCAGGACTCCCCAAACGAAGCTTCCGCCGGCGACCCCGGCGGAGTCCACGGCTGCGCAAGCGTCGATGTCGGATGCTCTCCGAACTCCGCAGACCACGAATGAGGCAGAGAGGGCGGTCGCGCCGCATGCACAGCTGGTTCCGAAGCCACTGGAGGGGCCGCTTCGGACGGAGTCGAAGCCAGTGGATGCTCGGCTTTCCGCTTCCGGCCAACCTGGCAGAAACTAGAACCTTCGGAACAAACCCGAAGATTTCGAACACGTACAACCCTACGCACACCTAATGCTTTGGGCACCAAGGCACAGCCTCCGAGCTCTCCAAAGGGCAAGTCCGCGCAAGAGCTTCCTCGAAGTCCACTAGCTCAGAATCAATGCCTGGATTTTGCTTGACGTACTCCTGGTAGTTGTCATTGATCCACCTGCTGTAACAGCCCTTGCAACGGTAGCAAAGTTTCAGCTTGTTGTCACGCAGTTCCTGCGGCAAAGCATACTTGAAGTGCCACCTCAGCTGAAACCTGTTGTGAAAAGCAAGGCGCTCGGCTTCATCAATCTCGCCTTTAGCAGTTCGCGGCTGCACCTTCGCTTGACAAGTCATGATGACCGGCGGGGGCGAATGCACCAGGACAGAACCGGCCCCCTTCACGGCAGCAGTGACGCTCTCGCCCTCCAGTAGCAGCAACAACGTGTCCCACGGTATGGGGGAGGAACTCAGCCGCCAGTCCTGGAAGACCGTGATGAGGTGCTGCTCAAGCCCCATAAGGGGGAACGTATCTCCCTTATTGGGCCGCAAGAAGGTGCGATTCTCGAAGATGTGCATCAAAGGCCTTGTCAAACCAGTCTTCCCAGAGTTGGACTCACCATAAAGCAAGATGTTGTTGTTCTTGGCCGCAGTCCCCAGCTTGAGAAGACGCAGGATGCAGAACGCGAACCTGCCTGCACTCTTTCCATGATGCTCCAACAAGTTGTCCAAAGCTTCGCGCAACCTGGAGGGCTCATAGCACACACAAGCCTCTTGACTGGCAGCTGCCCAAAGCCGCAGACGCTCCTCGCGTTGTTTGGGCGTGGTTGTCTCTGTCAACATCATCTGCCAGGATAAGAACAGGGGCTGCATCTTCGGCCCCTGCCGCGCCATGAACTCCTGGAACTTGCCATTGCCACGCTGACGCTGCTGCTCAGCCCATTCTATGAGCTCCTGGTACGAAGTCAACCGTGGACGCAAGTTCCGAAGCGCATTGAACATGTCACTTGGCCGGAAAGAAGCACTCGAATACTTACGCATCTTGCTTTCCATCTGTTCCAAGGGGAAGGTCGAAGAGAAGTAAGGATCGCCATCGAGTTCAGAATGGCTTTTCTTGAAGCTCGGACAAAGTACATAGCGAAGAATGCGCCATATATCAGCATGGAACTGTGGCAAAGCCAGGCGGCCATAAAAGCCACGCTCCCGCAAGTTCTTGGCCACAGCTTTCCACTTCACACGACGACTCAGCTTTAGCACTGCATGCCAATGCCATGTTCTCTCCCATCTTCGTGAAGAGCTGGCATGCTGCTCTGCCACAACGCAGTAGTACGCAATGGAATCTGCACCGTACACCTGCTTCAGAGCCTTGCCCAAGCATTTCTTGCCATGATCCGTGGCAGTAATGGCATCTGGCTTGTTCGAGTGAGGAAACGTCCAGAAGTGCACTGTGCTTCCTGCGTACCTGACACAAACTACGCGGCCCGACACAGCAACAAGTTTCTCCGAAAACAAAGCTCCTTCCAACTTCTTTGCCAAGCGGCTTGATTTGCTTAGTCACACATCGCAAATCCGCAAACTGATCCACAGGGCCGTCAGCCTCCTCAGAACTGCTCTGCTCCGCAGCAAAAACATCATCATGCGCGGCAAGGCTCACTTCAGAGACTTCAGAGCTTTCGTCGCAGGAGTCCGGGGCCGCAGATGAGTCCGAAGACGAGCTACTATTGGAGCTGGAGGTGCTGCCAGCAGTCAACCGCCCATCAGAAGACATGCCATGGACCCCTTCGCCGCCATGGCTCCACGTCCTGTGAGTCCGACTGATTTTGCTAATTGCATAGCCAGACGCCTGCGGCTGCACAACACGGGGTCTTTGCAGACAGCATATTTCCCCGGCCCTCCCGTACCCACCGGAACAAAGATGAATGTCACGTTCGCAGCTTTGAACAGCGCAAAAAGTCTTTGAGAACGCCGCTCTTGCTTTCCAGGCCATTGAACAGGATGCGCAACGTAACAGCCTGCAGCAAGCCCGAAGCAGTCTAAACTCCAAGCTCTTTATTTCGATTTGCATGACCGCGGAATCCACAAGCACATCATGCCTCAACAAAGCGTTAGAGCAACGGGGCAAAGTCTGAGTCTTTGCCAACACTTCCGAATTGCGGAAGCACGCCCGCAAAGCACATTTAGGCGCAACTGAACAAACGTAGACGACACAGGCTTGCAGAGATTTGAGCTCATGAACCTGTAACTTCATCTTTGTTTTGTGGGGGTAAGGGGAGTGCCGTCACTTCGATATGATGACTGATGCACAGCGTGCATATGGCACTCTCAGCTTCTGCATTCAAGGGCAAAGGTGCCTCCCAATCTGACTCTTCTCCACGAGCAGCGATAAATAGTCTCCCACATGTTAGACATGCAATCCGGTCTGCTGTCACATGCATCGTTTTGCATACATGCACGAGCAGTGTATTGCCAAGCGCCAAAATACATCCGACGAACACCCAAACACTTGCAACATCCGGCTGCGACCTTAGATGCGGCTTTTGGCTGCGATGTTGTAGCAACTTGTCAAAAAAATCCGGCTACGACCTTAGAGACGGCTTGTGCCTGCGATGGTTGACAAATGTGGCCAACAGTGTTTTGCGCAGTAGCAAATCCCCTGTGCAGCACGAGTACTGTGTTACCCAGAGCCAAAATACATCCACGAACATCCAAACGGGTAGAACGTCCGGCTAGGACCTTAGATACCGCCCTTGGCTGCGATGTTTCAACCAATTTGTCATAGCATGTTTCTCGCCTTCGCAAATGCCATATCCGGCACGAGCCGTATGTTACCGCGCAGCAAAATGCATCCAACGAGTATCCATGCGCTTGAAGCGTCCGGCTACAACCTTAGATACGGCTTTCGGCTGCGATGTTTCAGAAATTTGGCAAAATGTGTTGCGCGCATTAGCAGATGCCATACATCGCACGAACAGTGTGTTACCAAGCACGAAAATGCATCCAACGAGTATCCAAGCGCTTGAAACGTCCAGCTACAACCTTAGATACGGCTTTCGGCTGCGATGTTTCAGAAATTTGGCAAAATGTGTTGCGCGCATTAGCAGATGCCATACATCGCACGAACAGTGTGTTACCAAGCACCAAAATGCATCCAACGAGTTTCCAAGCGCTTGAATAGATGATAGCTTTGTAGCCTTTCCAACAAACCACAGTAAGAACATTCAGATGTGCCCTCGTACTGACTTCGATTACTCGCAGCATCAAGGCAACCAACGTGTCTGATGCGGTTTAAAGCAGCACTCAGATCTCTGTTGGCGGGTGAAGACTCCGACACTTCCCAGAGACTCCAAAACCCCTCAACTAAGGAATTGACCGTAAGTCTAGTTAGGGTTCCTGTCTAAGTTACACTGCATTCCTTAGTTAAGGGGTTTTGGAGTCTCTGGGTCTGGGCTACTGAGAGGCGTGCCGTCCAGATGATAGCTTCGTAGCCTTTTCAGCAAACCACAGTAAGAACATTCAGATGTGCTTCCCTTCGATTACTCTCGCAGCATCCAGGGCAACCAACGTGTCTGAAGCGGTTTAAAGCAGCGCTCAGATCTCTATTGGCGGGTGAACACTCCGACACTTCCCAGAGACTCCAAAACCCCTCAACTAAGGAATTGACCGTAAATCTAATTAGGGTTCCTATCTAATTTAGACTGTATTCCTTAGTTAAAGGGTTTTGGAGTCTCTGGGTCTGGGCTACTGAGAGGCGTGCCGTCCAGATGATAGCTTCGCAGCCTTTTCAGCAAACCACAGTAAGAACATTCAGATGTGCTTCTCTCGTACTGACGTCGATTACTCTCACAGCATCCAGGACAACCAACGTGTCTGATGCGGTTTAAAGCAGCGCTCAGATCTCTATTGGCGGGTGAACACTCCGACACTTCCCAGAGACTCCAAAACCCCTGAATTAAGGAATTGACCGTAAATCTAATTAGGGTTCCTGTCTAATTTAAACTGTATTCCTTAGTTAAAGGGTTTTGGAGTCTCTGGGTTTGGGCTATTCTGCATCTCAATGATTCAATGATAGGAAGAGCAGACAGTGAAGGAGCGAAAAAGCCCCCTGAGAAGGGGGCCGGCCAAAGCAGCCCGCATCTAATTCCGGCTCTACAAGGTGACTCCAGATGGAGCTTGGATATCTCTGCGGCAGGGAAACCCCCAAAAATCCTGAGCTGCATTACGGACTCCAAGCTTTTACTTCCAGCTCTCAGCCCTCAAAAGTCCACAGCTGTGGTGCCGACGCTGGACTTTTGCTTAGAAACCTGAGCCCTGAACCCCAAAACACCATCAGCCCAAAATCCCCTGAACCTCTGTCTTTGGGGCCGGGCCTCACTGCCCTGCGGCGTCCGGCTGTGTGTGCTTGCCTGTGCTTGTCTGTACTTGCTGCCTTCCTAAGATGTGGTAGCTGTCTGTCTGTTGTCTTCCTTCGAAATGTGCGCTTGAAAGATGTGTAAACCAACCCTACAAAGGTTACATGCTGTCACAGCATCATCCAGCACATCGCGCACCCCCGACGGTGCTCAAACAGGCTGCTGCAATCTACTGCTCTGGGCTGGCAGACACACGCACGCAAACAACACAACACACATGAGCTCGTGTGTGTCCGATTGCTACGCATGTTTTTGCCACAAGCTGTCGTTAGTGCAATCCAGACTGCGAGTATACACTGTTGCGGGCGGCCACAACACGTACTTCCCACGGCTTCTGGCCCAAGTCTTGGAAAACATAAAGACATCGATGCGAAACCCAACAGCTAGCAGCTTCGGAGGCTATGCTCACAATCAAGCCCTAGGTTTTTGGACATCAGATGTTGGGATGGGAGCATACCGTTACTGTGAAACGCATGGCGCCAATCCCTCTGTACAGAAGACTGCGAGTATACACTGTTGCGGGCGGCCACAACACGTACTTCCCACGGCTTTTGGCCCAAGTCTTGGAAAACATAAAGACATCGATGCGACACCCAACAGCTAGCAGCTTCGGAGGCTATGCTCACAATCAAGCCCTAGGTTTTTGGACATCAGATGTTGGGATGGGAGCATACCGTTACTGTGAAACGCATGGCGCCAATCCCTCTGTACAGAAACATCAGCTATGTCAACAAGAACGCCTTGCCATCACAGGCTGCTTTGCTGCAGCTTGGAGCTACTGTACCTTTCCGGCTTAGCCCTGCTGTTGCACAGCTGCCGCTTGGGCGCCCTGCTGTTGCACAGCTGCCGCTTGGGCGTCTTTCGCCTGTACAAGCAGCAGAAGTTCCTCACGGCTCAAGAGCTTTGCTGCCTGGCACCCAAGTCCGATGCAACCACAGGGGCAGAAATGAAATCCCAGAGCATGGCAGAAACCTTGAGCAGCTTCCCCTTCCGCTTTTCAGCTTGCTTGCTTCTCTCCCTGTTGTGCTTGATGGCCTCAGGTGCAGGCTCACGCACTAAGATGTGTGCACCACCCTGCTTTCGACCAGTCTTGACACCGGGCCACCAGCCTGACGGAGCTGTGCTCGCTGCGTTTTCAACGCCTCCAATTCTCGCTTCAGCACCTGCAAACATGACCGAATGGGACACCTCAAAGAAGGTCCAAAAATGCACGGAAAGCTGGGCCCGGCCATAGGGGCCTCCACAGTCAACGCAACAGCTTGTTGCCGCACGAGACTCTTCTAATCCAGGGTGCGAATATACTCTGCTGTGGGCGACCACAACACATACTTCGCAGGGTTGCCGGCCCAATTTTTGGGGAACAGGAACCGCGCAGCGGCATCGATGCGAGGCGCAACAGCTGGCAACTCTGGGGGCTGTGTCCACTCCAGCGCTTCCATGAGCCTTCTAGAAAGCAGCTGCTGGGATTGGAGCAGACCGTTACTTTCAAACGCATGGCGCCAATCTCTCTGTACAGCAGCATTTATTGCTGCGTCTACCGCCTGCAACCATGTGAAAGAAGCAACGTTGCCATCACAAGCTTCGCTGCGACGCAGCCGCCACTGCTCGCGATAGGCTGCCTTGAAAGAACTGAAGCAGTGAGTGTCCAGAGGCTGTAAGTATGGAGTCATGCCTGGCGGAACGTACAAAAGGTGGATGTTGTTTCGGTACGCTGCATTGAAAATGGAGTCGTGCAAATGCGCCGGCGCCAGATCGAGGACCAGGTACACGGCACGGGCACTGCAGAGATCACCAAGGCGGCGACAAAGTAAGTCTATGTACCTTCTCATGACGCGATGCGTCATCCAAGAGGACGTCTCCCTCCACAGCACCAAGTTTGGGCACAGGCTTTTCGCTTCCTTCATGAGCTTTAAGGAGAAGCGACGCCTGTTGCCCAGTAATACTTGGGGCAGTTGCCGCTGCAGGTCCGCCTCGTGCACGATTGCAGAGATGTACGTCACGCACCCACGCCGGTCCTGCAGCCGTGAGCAATCTCTTGCTCGCTTGGAGGCTATTGCACCTGGCAACTGTCCGGGATACAAGCAAATGGCCGTTTCGTCCATGTTGATCAGCAGTGGCTGGCGGGCCCTGGCCAAAGAATAATTCACGAGCTGAAAGAAAGTGGCCGCCTGGCACAGGTGCCAAGAACCCAGGATCCGTCAGATCATAGGCTAGCGAGCTCTCTTTTGGGTGTGTCAAAGATGGACCCGGCACGGTCAACTTTAATAAACCCCGAAAATGGTGATCCTACGCTGCCACCAAAATGGGTGTCACAAAACAACCCCCAAATGTATTTGAGAACAAGCTTCTTAGAGAACGCACAAAACCCTGGAAGGGGTTCGAAGCTTGGCACCAAAAAGAGCTCCAAAATGCAGCTCAAAAATGGACACCCAAAAATAGGTCCAAAACTCACACCCAAAACGGGGTTGAAAACTGGCAGCAGAAACAGAGCTGTGTTGACAGACTTTGCTGCAAACCATTTGTAAAGCTCTGACTATAACACTGGGCGCGGTCTCCCTCTAGTCTCCTCGTTACCGTAGAAGGCAAACAACTCCTCTTCAAATCTCGGACAGCCTTCGTGCGCTTCTCCTCAAGAGAAATCGGCGGCGCAGCCCTAAGTCGGCCATAGGTGCAACCAAACTCCTGGCGAAAGCGTCTTAAGAATTTGCGCTGGCTCCGTGCAGTTCGCAAGGGCCGGAGTAAACGAGCAGCAACTGCGACAGGTACGTCTTCAGGGATGAGCTTGCGAAACTCTGTTACAAGCATCCAGCGACTAGGGGCAACTCCATGCAGGACATTTTGCGACTGGACCCAAGTCCATAAGCGATCAAAAACCACAAAACGGGCGGCGTGCAGGAGATCGCGCATGGTACTGCGGCGTAGCGGCTGGACTAACAGCCTACCCATGACAGCTGCCAAGTCTGCGAGAGACGCGGTGCATGTGTCCGCTGCCCAGGCCAGGTACCGTGACGCCACATGCACACAGCCAGCCAGCGTGTAGACTTGCACCGCCCGGGCGGCCAAGACTGGGCCAGGAGTAGCTGCGTCGCCTATGCGAGTTGCGCGCTTCTCAAGTCGCTCCAACTTCCGTCGACGGCTGCGAATCTGCCGGCTCAGATCCGCAAGCTCCGAGGCCATTCTCGCACTGCTCATGATGGATTATTTCATGGGAAACTGCAGCTAGATGCTGACAGCACCACACTACACCGATGGGCAAAGCTGTGGCACCCATGCAGCTTGCTGTGTGCTACCCTGCATGCACAGTAACACCACCCGATTGTAGAGCCCGTCATGTCACACGCAAGACAACATGGCCGGATGTACTACAAGACCGTCGCCACACAGCAGTAGAAGATGCTGTCGCACACTTCACACGCAAGACAACATGGCCGGATGTACTACAAGACCGTCGCCACACAGCAATAGAAGATGCTGTCGCACACTGTAGCGGCCCCTACTAGTGGACCTTGCGCCGCTGCAATTCCTGCACCCCAAAACGTGGGTCCCCAAAGCGGCCCTTGGCCTCATCTCCCGTTGGTAGCTTTGGTGCTACTTGCGGCCCCATGATCGGCGCGCCCCAAACAGTGAATCTAGAGCACACACGCACACAAGAGGCACCTCAGCTCCTGCTCTTGGCGCTGCTTTTGCTTTCGGCGCCATGGCTCTACAAAGCAGGTCGCACTGAGAACCTCATGCTGCGTATCTGACAGCAGACCGGAGCTCACACACGAGAGTACCATCGCCGCAAATGTCGACAGTGCTTTGCGCGCACGCAGCTGCTCGACTCTTTGATAGCGAGCTGCTGACAGCAACTTCTGGAACAACGGTCTTGGCTTCAGGGAAGCGTTCCCTTTTGAGCTTCCTTAGGGATGCACGCAAGGAGTTGCTAACAAGCGACCTACACAAGACGCCTCTGACCTTCCACTGCATCAATTCAACCGCCATGTGTCCGCTTCAAGTACTGTGAGGGACTGACCTGCCGCATGGAAAGTCTGACCGCTTTCTGGCCACCAAACCGGGGTCAGAAAAGCTCCAAAACTGGGTCACAAGGATGTGGTCAACACACGATTCATGAGGTCTCGTACTACCTGTTCCTCGGCCACCCGGAGGCGGTGGAACTTGTACAACATTGCCGGAAACGGTGTTTATGCATTGCAAACAGCTGAGACTTCTAATCGGAAAGGACGGGGTGCAAAGGTGCATTCTTTCAAGAAAAAGTGAACTATTGAATACTTTTCTCTTGTTGCCCTAAAGCCCTGCGCCTTTGCACCCCCCCCCTTCTGCAGATTCTCCCCTAAACCCTCCCTTGCAGGTCCTCCCAAAACCCTCCTTTCCAGATCCTCCCTAAACCCCTTTCTGCAAATTCCCCTAAACCCTCCCTCAGGTCCTTCCCCAACCCTCCCTTGCAGATCCTCCCTACACCCCCTTCTGCAGATTCTCCCCTAAACCTTCCCTTGCAGGTCCTCCCCAAAACCCTCCCTTCCAGATCCTCCCTAAACCCCTTCCTGCAAATTCCCCCAAACCCTTCCTTGCAGGTCCTTCCCTAAACCCTCCCTTCCAGATCCTCCCTAAACCCCTTTCTGCAAATTCCCCTAAACCCTCCCTTGCAGGTCCTTCCCCAACGATCAACCCTACACCCCTTCCTGCAAATTCACCTAAACCCTTCCTTGCAGATTCTCCCCTAAACCCTCCCTTCCAGATCCTCCCTAAACCCCTTCCTGCACATTCCCGTAAACCCTCCTCCCTAAACCCCTTCCTGCACATTCCCGTAAACCCTCCCTTGCAGGTCCTTCCCTAAACCCTCCCTTCCAGATCCTCCCTAAACCCCTTTCTGCAAATTCCCCTAAACCCTTCCTTGCAGATTCTCCCCTAAACCCTCCCTTCCAGATCCTCCCTAAACCCCTTCTTGCAAATTCCCCTAAACCCTTCCTTGCAGGTCCTTCCCTAAACCCTCCCTTCCAGATCCTCCCTAAACCCCTTTCTGCAAATTCCCCTAAACCCGCAGGTCCTTCCCCAACCCTCCCTTGCACATCGCAATTCTCCCCTAAACCCTCGCTTGCAGCTCCTCCCCAAAACCCTCCCTTCCAGATCCTCCCTAAACCCCTTTCTGCAAATTCCCCTAAACCCTTCCTTGCACGTCCTTCCCTAAACCCTCCCTTCCAGATCCTCCCTAGATCCCTTTCTGCAAAGTCCCCAAACCCCTCCCTTGCAGGTCCTTCCCCAACCCTCCCTTGCAGATCCTCCCGTTTTCCAAATCCAACTGCTATGCAACGAGCAAGTTTCAAGCCTGCCGGCACGGTTTGTGCAATTTTGACATAAGCCATTTTTTTCGAGCTTTGCACGGCTTGGATTAAGTCATGCATTCTGGTTTTGGGCGTTTCGAGATCTGCGCCTTAGTTTCCAATAGGAAAGGCTAGGCCAAAAAGCAATTCCTGGCCTGCAGTGCACGGTATGTGCAGTTTCGGGCATAAGTCGTTGTTTTTCGAACTTTGGTCGGCTTGGTTTTGCCCTCCTACATTCTGGTTTCGTGCATTGTGACTCAGTTTCCAATAGAAATGGCTATGCCACAAAGAAGTTCCAGGCCTGCAGGCACGGTATGTGCAATTTTTGACATAAGCAATTTTTTTCGAACTTTAAACGGCTTGGATTACGTCATGCATTCTGGTTTTGGGCGTTTCGAGATCTGCGCCTTAATTTCCAATAGGAGCGGCTATGCCAAACAGAAGTTCCAGGCCTGCGGTGCACGGTATGTATCGGTATGTGCAGTTTTTGGCATAAGCAATCTTTTTCGAACTTTGGACGGCTTGGTTTTTGACCTCGTACATTCTGGTTTCGTGCGTTGTGCCTAGTTTCCAATAGGAACGGTCTTTCAAGCGGCTCTGCACATACCCGGCCTTGCAGGCCTGGAACTTGCTCCTTGCCGAACAGCTCCTATTGGAAACTAGGGCACACAACTGCAAACGCACGAAACCAGAATGTACAAGGCAAAACCAAGCCGACCAAAGTTCGAAAAAAATGGCTTATGCCAAAAACTGCACATGCCGATGCAACCGTGCACTGCAGGCCTGGAACTTCTTTTTGGCATAGCCGCTCCTATTGGAAACTAAGGCACCACCAGAATGTACAAGGCAAAACCACCAAGCCGACCAAAGTTCGAAAAAAATGGCTTATGCCGAAAACTGCACATACCGATACAACCGTGCGCTACAGGCCTGGAACTTCTTTTTGGCATAGCCGCTCCTATTGGAAACTAAGGCACAACCAGAATGTACAAGGCAAAACCACCAAGCCGACCAAAGTTCGAAAAAAATGGCTTATGCCAAAAACGGCACATGCCGATACGACCGTGCACTGCAAGCCTGGAACTTCTTTTTGGCATAGCCGTTCCTATTGGAAACTAAGGCACAACCAGAATGTACAAGGCAAAACCACCAAGCCGACCAAAGTTCGAAAAAATGGCTTATGCCAAAAACGGCACATACCGATACGACCGTGCACTGCAGGCCTGGAACTTCGTTTTGGCATAGCCGTTCCTATTGGAAACTAAGGCACAACGCGCGAAACCAGAATGCACAAGGCAAAACCACCAACCCGACCAAAGTTCGAAAAAAATGGCTTATGCCAAAACTGCACATACCGATACGACCGTGCACTGCAAGCCTGGAACTTCTTTTTGGCATAGCCGTTCCTATTGGAAACTAAGGCACAACGCGCAAAACCAGAATGTACGCTACCAAGCCGACCAAAGTTCGAAAAAGATGGCTTATGCCAAAACCTGCACATACCGTGTCTCGCCCCCAGAATCGTGTGTGCTAAGTCAGGCAAACAACTAACGCGCGTACGCTCCCACTCCCACAACGACACACTCACATCGAACTCTTCCTCTTTCTTCCTCTCTCTCGCTCTCCTCCCGTCTCTTTCTCCTCTTTCTCTTTCTTTCTCTCTCTACCTGCGGACCTGTCAGTCACACGTCATGGTTTACCGATCCTGACAAACATGCTCTTACTCAGACATGTGGATGAGCTCAGGGCAGGTGAACCGCCTCCGCTGGATGATCAAGCTTGAGCAGCTCCAGGTGGTCAAGGCGTAGCAAGCCAACAAACATGCGCTTACTCCGACATGTGGATGAGCTCCGGGCAGGTGAACCGCCTCCGCTGGATGATCAAGCTTCAGCAGCTCCAGGTAGGTCAGGGCGTAGCAAGCCAGCAACCTGATCAAGGATGTGTCCGACAAAACGAAATCTGTGCCACGTCCAGCGAGCGTACAGTGCTGCTCAAAGCAACGAGGCCTTTAGAGAGGACGTACAAGACTTGCACGGTTGAAGGTCTCCTGCTTGGCGAAAGCGTTCACGTTCAGTGCTGGTCAAAACAACGAGGCCTTTAGAGAGGTCGTACATCTGCACGCTGTGGAATGTCTCATGCTGGGCGAAGGCCTTCACAAACGGCAGTAGCAGGCTGGCACAGAAAGAAAGGCGAGTGACACCCAGGAGCCTTCTTGAGGACTGAAGCATTCGGACCTGAGCGCAGGCTTTGCCGTGCTTCAGAGAGGATCTGAAGTCGCCACTACGGAACTAACCTCGTTGCCTCGTTGCCGCCGAAGATGTACAGTTTGCTTGCACAACCTGAACCATCCCAAGCAAGAGCCCGCACAGCACCAGTGAAGCAGCTACAGGGTCCCAGCTTGCCGAGTTGAGCGTGCCCCGGACGAAGGTCTCCAGCATCTTGCGGATCCGAATCCAGCGAGCGACACAGCTGTTCAAAAACAACGAGGCCTGTAAGAGGTCTCCCCAGCGGTCCACCAGCATTTTTCGAGTCCTAGCAAACATGCTCCAACTTCTGTTTTTCTTCAACTTCTCCCTCCGAAGCCTCCTTCCAGACGCACGTTGCATCGAAACCTTGGCAAGTGACCGCAAGGCGGACAGACTTCTTGGCAACAAGGGTTGCTCCCAAAGGACTGCGTGCAAAAACAGCATGTCTCCAAAACATGCCTTCAAATCTTTCCGCAAACTGCCTGAAAGCAACGTGTTGCACAAAAACGTCTTTAGATAGAGGACATGCGCTCAAAAACAGCAATTGCGGAAATTCTGCCTAACAAATCTGCCCAGTTGAACAGATTCACACATATGGTTGCGGAAACTGTCCTCCCTAACGCTTCCTGCAATCTCACTACAACAATCATGATGCCGACGCTCACGTCTGCTGTTTTGATTTGCGTCAAGGCCAGTTACAAGCCCTGTCTGAAAGCTTCTAGAATCTCCGGCGGTGTTCGCCACACTGGCGATGACAATGCGTCGCTCTGCGAACTGGAGACGGCTTGAGCACTCTGAGATCGGAAAGCTGCGTGGATCTCCGGCGGCGTTTCCCAATGAGGCGACAAGAGCCGAGAATTTTCTGGCGATGTAGGAGGTGGGCCTAGCGGTGTCCACGGCTGCGCAAGCTCCTCGTCCAAATGTTCAAGCGGTGCTGCTGTCCGCGGCGGTGTCCACGCAGGCCAGGACTCCCCAAACGAAGCTTCCGCCGGCGACCCCGGCGGAGTCCACGGCTGCGCAAGCGTCGATGTCGGATGCTCTCCGAACTCCGCAGACCACGAATGAGGCAGAGAGAGCGGTCGCGCCGCATGCACAGCTGGTTCCGAAGCCACTGGAGGGGCCGCTTCGGACGGAGTCGAAGCCAGTGGATGCTCGGCTTTCCGCTTCCGGCCAACCTGGCAGAAACTAGAACCTTCGGAACAAACCCGAAGATTTCGAACACGTACAACCCTACGCACACCTAATGCTTTGGGCACCAAGGCACAGCCTCCGAGCTCTCCAAAGGGCAAGTCCGCGCAAGAGCTTCCTCGAAGTCCACTAGCTCAGAATCAATGCCTGGATTTTGCTTGACGTACTCCTGGTAGTTGTCATTGATCCACCTGCTGTAACAGCCCTTGCAACGGTAGCAAAGTTTCAGCTTGTTGTCACGCAGTTCCTGCGGCAAAGCATACTTGAAGTGCCACCTCAGCTGAAACCTGTTGTGAAAAGCAAGGCGCTCGGCTTCATCAATCTCGCCTTTAGCAGTTCGCGGCTGCACCTTCGCTTGACAAGTCATGATGACCGGCGGGGGCGAATGCACCAGGACAGAACCGGCCCCCTTCACGGCAGCAGTGACGCTCTCGCCCTCCAGTAGCAGCAACAACGTGTCCCACGGTATGGGGGAGGAACTCAGCCGCCAGTCCTGGAAGACCGTGATGAGGTGCTGCTCAAGCCCCATAAGGGGGAACGTATCTCCCTTATTGGGCCGCAAGAAGGTGCGATTCTCGAAGATGTGCATCAAAGGCCTTGTCAAACCAGTCTTCCCAGAGTTGGACTCACCATAAAGCAAGATGTTGTTGTTCTTGGCCGCAGTCCCCAGCTTGAGAAGACGCAGGATGCAGAACGCGAACCTGCCTGCACTCTTTCCATGATGCTCCAACAAGTTGTCCAAAGCTTCGCGCAACCTGGAGGGCTCATAGCACACACAAGCCTCTTGACTGGCAGCTGCCCAAAGCCGCAGACGCTCCTCGCGTTGTTTGGGCGTGGTTGTCTCTGTCAACATCATCTGCCAGGATAAGAACAGGGGCTGCATCTTCGGCCCCTGCCGCGCCATGAACTCCTGGAACTTGCCATTGCCACGCTGACGCTGCTGCTCAGCCCATTCTATGAGCTCCTGGTACGAAGTCAACCGTGGACGCAAGTTCCGAAGCGCATTGAACATGTCACTTGGCCGGAAAGAAGCACTCGAATACTTACGCATCTTGCTTTCCATCTGTTCCAAGGGGAAGGTCGAAGAGAAGTAAGGATCGCCATCGAGTTCAGAATGGCTTTTCTTGAAGCTCGGACAAAGTACATAGCGAAGAATGCGCCATATATCAGCATGGAACTGTGGCAAAGCCAGGCGGCCATAAAAGCCACGCTCCCGCAAGTTCTTGGCCACAGCTTTCCACTTCACACGACGACTCAGCTTTAGCACTGCATGCCAATGCCATGTTCTCTCCCATCTTCGTGAAGAGCTGGCATGCTGCTCTGCCACAACGCAGTAGTACGCAATGGAATCTGCACCGTACACCTGCTTCAGAGCCTTGCCCAAGCATTTCTTGCCATGATCCGTGGCAGTAATGGCATCTGGCTTGTTCGAGTGAGGAAACGTCCAGAAGTGCACTGTGCTTCCTGCGTACCTGACACAAACTACGCGGCCCGACACAGCAACAAGTTTCTCCGAAAACAAAGCTCCTTCCAACTTCTTTGCCAAGCGGCTTGATTTGCTTAGTCACACATCGCAAATCCGCAAACTGATCCACAGGGCCGTCAGCCTCCTCAGAACTGCTCTGCTCCGCAGCAAAAACATCATCATGCGCGGCAAGGCTCACTTCAGAGACTTCAGAGCTTTCGTCGCAGGAGTCCGGGGCCGCAGATGAGTCCGAAGACGAGCTACTATTGGAGCTGGAGGTGCTGCCAGCAGTCAACCGCCCATCAGAAGACATGCCATGGACCCCTTCGCCGCCATGGCTCCACGTCCTGTGAGTCCGACTGATTTTGCTAATTGCATAGCCAGACGCCTGCGGCTGCACAACACGGGGTCTTTGCAGACAGCATATTTCCCCGGCCCTCCCGTACCCACCGGAACAAAGATGAATGTCACGTTCGCAGCTTTGAACAGCGCAAAAAGTCTTTGAGAACGCCGCTCTTGCTTTCCAGGCCATTGAACAGGATGCGCAACGTAACAGCCTGCAGCAAGCCCGAAGCAGTCTAAACTCCAAGCTCTTTATTTCGATTTGCATGACCGCGGAATCCACAAGCACATCATGCCTCAACAAAGCGTTAGAGCAACGGGGCAAAGTCTGAGTCTTTGCCAACACTTCCGAATTGCGGAAGCACGCCCGCAAAGCACATTTAGGCGCAACTGAACAAACGTAGACGACACAGGCTTGCAGAGATTTGAGCTCATGAACCTGTAACTTCATCTTTGTTTTGTGGGGGTAAGGGGAGTGCCGTCACTTCGATATGATGACTGATGCACAGCGTGCATATGGCACTCTCAGCTTCTGCATTCAAGGGCAAAGGTGCCTCCCAATCTGACTCTTCTCCACGAGCAGCGATAAATAGTCTCCCACATGTTAGACATGCAATCCGGTCTGCTGTCACATGCATCGTTTTGCATACATGCACGAGCAGTGTATTGCCAAGCGCCAAAATACATCCGACGAACACCCAAACACTTGCAACATCCGGCTGCGACCTTAGATGCGGCTTTTGGCTGCGATGTTGTAGCAACTTGTCAAAAAAATCCGGCTACGACCTTAGAGACGGCTTGTGCCTGCGATGGTTGACAAATGTGGCCAACAGTGTTTTGCGCAGTAGCAAATCCCCTGTGCAGCACGAGTACTGTGTTACCCAGAGCCAAAATACATCCACGAACATCCAAACGGGTAGAACGTCCGGCTAGGACCTTAGATACCGCCCTTGGCTGCGATGTTTCAACCAATTTGTCATAGCATGTTTCTCGCCTTCGCAAATGCCATATCCGGCACGAGCCGTATGTTACCGCGCAGCAAAATGCATCCAACGAGTATCCATGCGCTTGAAGCGTCCGGCTACAACCTTAGATACGGCTTTCGGCTGCGATGTTTCAGAAATTTGGCAAAATGTGTTGCGCGCATTAGCAGATGCCATACATCGCACGAACAGTGTGTTACCAAGCACGAAAATGCATCCAACGAGTATCCAAGCGCTTGAAACGTCCAGCTACAACCTTAGATACGGCTTTCGGCTGCGATGTTTCAGAAATTTGGCAAAATGTGTTGCGCGCATTAGCAGATGCCATACATCGCACGAACAGTGTGTTACCAAGCACCAAAATGCATCCAACGAGTTTCCAAGCGCTTGAATAGATGATAGCTTTGTAGCCTTTCCAACAAACCACAGTAAGAACATTCAGATGTGCCCTCGTACTGACTTCGATTACTCGCAGCATCAAGGCAACCAACGTGTCTGATGCGGTTTAAAGCAGCACTCAGATCTCTGTTGGCGGGTGAAGACTCCGACACTTCCCAGAGACTCCAAAACCCCTCAACTAAGGAATTGACCGTAAGTCTAGTTAGGGTTCCTGTCTAAGTTACACTGCATTCCTTAGTTAAGGGGTTTTGGAGTCTCTGGGTCTGGGCTACTGAGAGGCGTGCCGTCCAGATGATAGCTTCGTAGCCTTTTCAGCAAACCACAGTAAGAACATTCAGATGTGCTTCCCTTCGATTACTCTCGCAGCATCCAAGGCAACCAACGTGTCTGAAGCGGTTTAAAGCAGCGCTCAGATCTCTATTGGCGGGTGAACACTCCGACACTTCCCAGAGACTCCAAAACCCCTCAACTAAGGAATTGACCGTAAATCTAATTAGGGTTCCTATCTAATTTAGACTGTATTCCTTAGTTAAAGGGTTTTGGAGTCTCTGGGTCTGGGCTACTGAGAGGCGTGCCGTCCAGATGATAGCTTCGCAGCCTTTTCAGCAAACCACAGTAAGAACATTCAGATGTGCTTCTCTCGTACTGACGTCGATTACTCTCACAGCATCCAGGACAACCAACGTGTCTGATGCGGTTTAAAGCAGCGCTCAGATCTCTATTGGCGGGTGAACACTCCGACACTTCCCAGAGACTCCAAAACCCCTGAATTAAGGAATTGACCGTAAATCTAATTAGGGTTCCTGTCTAATTTAGACTGTATTCCTTAGTTAAAGGGTTTTGGAGTCTCTGGGTTTGGGCTATTCTGCATCTCAATGATTCAATGATAGGAAGAGCAGACAGTGAAGGAGCGAAAAAGCCCCCTGAGAAGGGGGCCGGCCAAAGCAGCCCGCATCTAATTCCGGCTCTACAAGGTGACTCCAGATGGAGCTTGGATATCTCTGCGGCAGGGAAACCCCCAAAAAATCCTGAGCTGCATTACGGACTCCAAGCTTTTACTTCCAGCTCTCAGCCCTCAAAAGTCCACAGCTGTGGTGCCGACGCTGGACTTTTGCTTAGAAACCTGAGCCCTGAACCCCAAAACACCATCAGCCCAAAATCCCCTGAACCTCTGTCTTTGGGGCCGGGCCTCACTGCCCTGCGGCGTCCGGCTGTGTGTGCTTGCCTGTGCTTGTCTGTACTTGCTGCCTTCCTAAGATGTGGTAGCTGTCTGTCTGTTGTCTTCCTTCGAAATGTGCGCTTGAAAGATGTGTAAACCAACCCTACAAAGGTTACATGCTGTCACAGCATCATCCAGCACATCGCGCACCCCCGACGGTGCTCAAACAGGCTGCTGCAATCTACTGCTCTGGGCTGGCAGACACACGCACGCAAACAACACAACACACATGAGCTCGTGTGTGTCCGATTGCTACGCATGTTTTTGCCACAAGCTGTCGTTAGTGCAATCCAGACTGCGAGTATACACTGTTGCGGGCGGCCACAACACGTACTTCCCACGGCTTCTGGCCCAAGTCTTGGAAAACATAAAGACATCGATGCGAAACCCAACAGCTAGCAGCTTCGGAGGCTATGCTCACAATCAAGCCCTTCGCACGAACAGTGTGTTACCAAGCACCAAAATGCATCCAACGAGTTTCCAAGCGCTTGAATAGATGATAGCTTTGTAGCCTTTCCAACAAACCACAGTAAGAACATTCAGATGTGCCCTCGTACTGACTTCGATTACTCTCGCAGCATCCAGGGCAACCAACGTGTCTGAAGCGGTTTAAAGCAGCGCTCAGATCTCTATTGGCGGGTGAACACTCCGACACTTCCCAGAGACTCCAAAACCCCTCAACTAAGGAATTGACCGTAAATCTAATTAGGGTTCCTATTTAATTTAGACTGTATTCCTTAGTTAAAGGGTTTTGGAGTCTCTGGGTCTGGGCTACTGAGAGGCGTGCCGTCCAGATGATAGCTTCGCAGCCTTTTCAGCAAACCACAGTAAGAACATTCAGATGTGCTTCTCTCGTACTGACGTCGATTACTCTCACAGCATCCAGGACAACCAACGTGTTTGATGCGGTTTAAAGCAGCGCTCAGATCTCTATTGGCGGGTGAACACTCCGACACTTCCCAGAGACTCCAAAACCCCTGAATTAAGGAATTGACCGTAAATCTAATTAGGGTTCCTGTCTAATTTAGACTGTATTCCTTAGTTAAAGGGTTTTGGAGTCTCTGGGTTTGGGCTATTCTGCATCTCAATGATTCAATGATAGGAAGAGCAGACAGTGAAGGAGCGAAAAAGCCCCCTGAGAAGGGGGCCGGCCAAAGCAGCCCGCATCTAATTCCGGCTCTACAAGGTGACTCCAGATGGAGCTTGGATGTCTCTGCGGCAGGGAAACCCCCAAAAAATCCTGAGCTGCATTACGGACTCCAAGCTTTTACTTCCAGCTCTCAGCCCTCAAAAGTCCACAGCTGTGGTGCCGACGCTGGACTTTTGCTTAGAAACCTGAGCCCTGAACCCCAAAACACCATCAGCCCAAAATCCCCTGAACCTCTGTCTTTGGAGCCGGGCCTCACTGCCCTGCGGCGTCCGGCTGTGTGTGCTTGCCTGTGCTTGTCTGTACTTGCTGCCTTCCTAAGATGTGGTAGCTGTCTGTCTGTTGTCTTCCTTCGAAATGTGCGCTTGAAAGATGTGTAAACCAACCCTACAAAGGTTACATGCTGTCACAGCATCATCCAGCACATCGCGCACCCCCGACGGTGCTCAAACAGGCTGCTGCAATCTACTGCTCTGGGCTGGCAGACACACGCACGCAAACAACACAACACACATGAGCTCGTGTGTGTCCGATTGCTACGCATGTTTTTGCCACAAGCTGTCGTTAGTGCAATCCAGACTGCGAGTATACACTGTTGCGGGCGGCCACAACACGTACTTCCCACGGCTTCTGGCCCAAGTCTTGGAAAACATAAAGACATCGATGCGAAACCCAACAGCTAGCAGCTTCGGAGGCTATGCTCACAATCAAGCCCTAGGTTTTTGGACATCAGATGTTGGGATGGGAGCATACCGTTACTGTGAAACGCATGGCGCCAATCCCTCTGTACAGAAGACTGCGAGTATACACTGTTCCGGGCGGCCACAACACGTACTTCCCACGGCTTTTGGCTCTTGGAAAACATAAAGACATCGATGCGACACCCAACAGCTAGCAGCTTCGGAGGCTGTGCTCACAATCAAGCCCTAGGTTTTTGGACATCAGATGTTGGGATGGGAGCATACCGTTACTGTGAAACGCATGGCGCCAATCCCTCTGTACAGAAACATCAGCTATGTCAACAAGAACGCCTTGCCATCACAGGCTGCTTTGCTGCAGCTTGGAGCTACTGTACCTTTCCGGCTTAGCCCTGCTGTTGCACAGCTGCCGCTTGGGCGCCCTGCTGTTGCACAGCTGCCGCTTGGGCGTCTTTCGCCTGTACAAGCAGTAGAAGTTCCTCACGGCTCAAGAGCTTTGCTGCCTGGCACCCAAGTCCGATGCAACCACAGGGGCAGAAATGAAATCCCAGAGCATGGCAGAAACCTTGAGCAGCTTCCCCTTCCGCTTTTCAGCTTGCTTGCTTCTCTCCCTGTTGTGCTTGATGGCCTCAGGTGCAGGCTCACGCACTAAGATGTGTGCACCACCCTGCTTTCGACCAGTCTTGACACCGGGCCACCAGCCTGACGGAGCTGTGCTCGCTGTTTTTTCAACGCCTCCAATTCCGATTTTGCGGGCTGGACGCTCTAGGGCTCGCGATCTTAGGGGCTCTAAAGTGCTTGCAAAACGGGCGCGCGCGGCATCGGAGGCGCTTTGGAGGCGCGCCGTCGTGCTCCGGAGCTGTTTGGGAGCCGCGCGCTTACGCGCGCTCGTTCGGTGCGGAGGGCGTGGGAGCAGCTCGTGCGTTGCTCGTAGGCGGCCGGCGAGTGCTCGTGAGTTGCAAGCAAGCAGCTCGTGAGTTGCGAGCAGCTTTTGCGCAGGACGCTTGAAGAATTTTCAGGGCTGTCAGTCAATTTGACTGACAGGTTGTTGCGAAATTTCCCAAGCGAGTGCTCTTAAGTTGCCAGCAAGTAGCTCGTGAGCTTTTGCGCAGGGCGCTCGAAGAATTTTCAGGGCTGTCAAGCAATTTGACTGGTCCTGCCGTCGGGTAGCTTGTGAGTTGCCAGCAAGTAGCTCGTAAGCTGGCGAGTGCTCGTAAGTTGCCAGCAAGTAGCTCGTGAGCTGCTGGCGAGCACTCGTCGGCTGCTGGCAAGTGGCGCGCCCTTAAAGTTCCTCTAAAGCCCGTTTTGCAAAGACTTTAGAGCCCCTAAGATCGTCGGAGCTGCGGGCCGTAGGCCCGCGAATCGATAGTGCTCGAAAGTACCGAATTCTGACCTATGTCTCGAACTGAGGCCTGTAGCTATCACAGAGTGGAGAGCTGGAACACCCTCCCCAGAGAGAGAAAAAAATCCTCCGGGCCCGGCCCCGTACTGGTTAGCTCGGCAGCGGAAAGCCTGCTTCTCTCAGTGCCTCTCGGTGCTGCTCGGTTGCCCGAGCATAGGCTTGCGGAACGTAAGCAGCGAGAGCCCACATGCTGCCCTCGTGCGGCTCCACCATGTGATACCGGCGAGCGTCGAAGCTCACCGGCTTGTCGTGCATGTCGAGCCATCTACCCGGCAGCTCTCGCCCCCTTTTCTTGTCGGCCAGCCAGGCCGTGGAGTCCCCCTCGTCATCTTCGATCCACACCCGCCCTCCTGTGTACTCGCCCAGAGCCAGCGCGTGATTCGCGTGCCCTGGCATGTTCTGAATGTCCCGGTGCAGCCCCATGCGCGGGTTGAAGAGCACAGCTATGGACGTTCAGGTGCCGTTCGGAAAGCCGATCTTGAGAAAGCTGTTCACGGCTGCACAGGCTGCCCGCAGGCCCGTGGCATTGGAGACCCCGACCACGCCGCCGTGCCCGAAAAGCCCCAGCGTGGCATATCGCTCATAGGCCCCCGGCCCCACCGCCCGAGTGCGACCCCGGTGCTTCCAGTCCACCGACCACAGATCCAGCAACCGCACGAGGTTAGCTTCGGTCGGCTCCTCCGTGGCGTTCCGGCACGCCAAATCCATTTTTTACATTGACAGCATTTATCACCAAAAACACCCATGCCCCTAAAACACCATGCCGCACCCCAATTTTTCGGGATTTTGAAGCCGCCCGGGGAGGGTGCGCCCCGACGGCCCCCGGCAGCCGGCCGTTTTGCGAGCCGACCACGCACCGGCGAGAGCCCGATTTCGGTGTGCCCCCCGCCTAGGGTTTGAGCACGTCTTCGGCCGGATCGTCCCTTTCCTGTCGAATCGGTGCCGGCCAGCCCCGGAACGTGCTCGGGGAGGGTTTAGGATGGGTCGAACACAGCCACACGGAATCGCCGAGCATCACGGAACCGCCGCGCCTCCGATTCTCGTGGTGCGCCCTGCCTATGTTTCACACACCCTGCCGGGCCCGCCGGCCAAAAGCGACACAGCCAGCTCCGAGAAGGCCCGCGCAAGGCCAAAAAGGCTTTGCCGGGCCGTTTCACCCCAGATTGTGGCGAGAGCGCGATTTCGGTGGATACGTCCCCTAGGTTTGGCTCAAGTTTTCGTGGCTGGGTGCGCTCAGTGTCGATTCGCGGCGAGCCTGTGGCCGCCGTCGACCTGATCCGTGGGGGTTTAGGATGCTCACAGATGCTCGCTCGCCTTTGCTCACTGATGCCTTTTTGTTTTTGATTTGTAATGTAGCTAGGCCCGCCGACTTTTGCAGTAACATTTTGCTAGAGTGCTTTCGCCTGGGGTTGCTTTTTGGTTTGGTTCAGGGCACCCTAACCCCTTCGGCCCCAGCAGTAGGTTTGCTTCCCGTCTGCCTTGCAAGTGCCCTGCGTCCCTAACCCGTAGGTCCCCCCGCCCGCGTCTGCCCTGCGTTCAGGTTTTGTTTCCGCGCCGCGGTCCACCAACTAGAGCGCACATGGTTCGCGGGTCGCGGGGCAACACAGCACATCATGATCACATGAGCCCAGCAGCGCGGCAGTGGCAGCACAGGCAGCACAGGCAGCACTGTCTAGCACGGCAACACAGCAGTCACGGCACAGCAGACACAGGTGACACAAGCACCGCAGTACTGCACAATGGCGAGGGCTCTTCGTCCCGGTGAGGGCTTGGTGGAGATCGAGGATCGCGACGGCAGGGTGTGGCAGGTGCCGATCAATGTCGCGTACTGGCGCTCACTCAGCGGCGATCAGAGCCTCTACATGTTTGAAAGGTTTGTTGCTGACGGCGGGTTTTTGTAGGTGCCTTTGAGACTTTGAAGCTCTTGCCACTCTAGTTCAGATCCAAGGCAGACGATCCTGATGGTCAAGCTCCGCAACCAGATCGAGGCTGAGGGCACAGAGGACCGCTTGGCAGAGGGTGGCGGCGTGCTTCAGTGCAACGTCGCCCTCGGATGCGAGTGCCTGCCGCGTCCGCCCGATGGACTCGATGGACCCGTGGCCGAAGAGGGCGAGAAGGAGGACAGCCAGAGTCAGAGCTCGAAGAAAAGAAAGAAGAAAAAGAAGAACAAACCCCAGGCGGAGGGCGAGAAAAAGGACGACAAACCCATGGCCGAGGGCGACAAGAAGGACGACGAAGCCAAGGCGTCGGGCGAGCCGGCAAGCGGTCTGCACTCCATGGACTAGCGTGCCTCTGGTGGAGAGTGGAATCTTGCCCGACGAAGACTGCCGGACATGGAATGCTCTTCGGCTTTCTCGGCCATTTGGATATGATCAAGTGCGTTTTTGGAGCGGCCGAGGGGTGAGTTTTTAAAAGTGTGTGGCGTGGTTTCCCCTATTACCCCCCTAAGCCCCGGTTTCCCTTCCCTTAAGTTTGCAGGGCTTCCCGAACCCTTTTCGGCCCCCGCTGTAGGCTGTCCAATTCTGCCCTGCAAGTGAGCGCGCTTCTGTGCGAGCCGTCCCGAACCCACCTAAGCCTTCTGCTTTGACTTTGTGTTTCCGCGCTCGCAGGTTCAAGGGTAGGGGGCTGGGGTTGCCGGGCGGGCGGTGGGTGGGCGGGGCGGGCTTTTGTCGCCGGGCCCTCAGATCGTTTGCGCTTTTGTGTGTCTGTGCGTGCCAGCCCTGCGCCGCCTGCCCGTAACTAGAGCGGCCCCGTCTCGCTCTGCCCAGGCCTGAGCCTCATCGCTGGCGATCGCTCCGCGAAGCTTTTCACTCAGAGTGTTTGCCGAGGGATTTGAGATTGGAAAGTGTTTAAGGGTTGCGGGTTTTGGTTCTGTCATGCGAGTGTGTGCGCGCAGGAGCCCGTTGCTGCCCCCGCCCCGCCCGTAACTAGAGTGCCCTGCAGCCCGCCTCGTCCCGGAAACCCCGGGCCCCTCGTCGCCGCTCTCAGGTGTCAACGGCCATCGGCTGCGGCGGCCTCTTCATCTCTCGCCTGGACCCTGGACGTTTGCATCTGAAGCCGCGGCTGAGTGTGAGGGGTTTTGGTTGCCTGCAGGGTAGGTGCACCTCTTTACAAGCAGTTGCCGAAGCCTTTGCTGATTCGAGCCCTTTGGTGTCCGTAGTGCTGCGGTCATGCCATCTGACGTGCAGACGGTCCTCCTCCTCGTGTGGGGCTTCTACTGGCCGAACCATCGGCATTTCGTGGAGGATATGGATCCGCTGCTGAGTACTGGCTGGCACGGCTATCAGCTTTACGAGCAGTGGGCTGACGTCATTTACCGACTCGTGATGCTGAACTTCTTGGAGGCCGATGTCTTGATGCGTGCCCGCATCCAGCTGCAAAGGGCCGGGAGGTTGTACGCGAGCAGATACGCGGTGCGGCTTCGCGATCAATGCAGGATCGCTGCTGAAGTATTGGACCGCGACCCGGACGACCGCCTCCAGGGGTTCCAATGGTTGTGCGAAGCGAGCAACCCTCGCCTGAACGAGAGCTTCTTGCATGCCAGTCGGGTTTCCGCAGCAGCCAGTTTTGTCATCGAGCACGGCGCTTCTGGGAGGCTGCAGGCTGGAGAGGATGCTCTGTACGATCGGGTCATGCAGGAGACTGAGCGGCTCCGAACCGACGACGACATGGACCCTTTTGATGATATCAATTTCCGCTCTTAAGCCCTGCTTACAGAACAGCAGGCCCTTGGGTGCAAAAAAAGTCCATGCTGGATCCCTGCCCGTAGAGCTCGTGCAAAATAATCTGCAATCCTCGCTCCTTCCTCGCTCTTCCCAGGTATCCGATGAGGGCGGCGACGTCGGTCCGAAGCCTGGTGCTATGTGTCCGTTGCCTCTTTGAAGCCGGCTGGTTGGCATGTTTCGATGCTTTGGATGCTCGACAGCACCGGGGCCCCACTGACAGGGGTGAGCATGCTTAGCGCCGACGCATGCCTGGAGAATCGAAGTCAGTGCGAGAACTTCATCACATACTTGGTTAATGTGGCTAGCTGCCAAGCTAATACCGCGAAGCTATCATCGTTCACATACTTGGTTAATGCGGCTAGCTGACAAGCTAATACCACGAAGCTATCATCTGTTGCCATGGTTCGCGTCGTATCACTGAGCGGGCGAGAGGTCGACGTCCGCTGGGGTCCCGAGGACACCTTGGCCGATATCGCCGAGAAAGCCAGAGTGGCACTCGGCACCTGCCGCGGACGGCTTCTCCTCGGCGCCGACGTTCTCAACTTCGACAGCAAGATGAAGGATGTGGGGGATGGAGTCCTGACGTTCCAGTCGATTTTGCCCCGCACGCTGGCGAGTTTGAGGGCATACACGATCCTGTACGGCGACGGCACCGCGGAGGCGGTGGGGGACCCTGATCTCGGTGGCCGAGGTGGCGCGCAGGGGGTGAAGGCGGTGCAGTGCACCTGCCAGGCCTTTGCAGCCCTCTTGGATAATGGATCGGTCGTGGCTTGGGGACAGGAACTTGGCGGCGGCGATGCGAGTGCAGATTTTTACGAGGAAGACATCGTGCAGATCCAATCCACCGACACCGCCTTCGCGGCCATAACGATCGACGGCGCGATCGATTGCTGGGGTAACCCGTGCACAGGCGGGTTGGGGCCCCTTCAGCCTGGCGATGATGGTGAACCTGTACGGCTTGACGTGGAGGGAGTGATCGCCATCCAGTCCACTGAGCGCGCCTTCGCCGCGATTCTCAATGATGGCAGCGTCGTGGCCTGGGGTGATGAAAATGCGGGCGGCGACAACCGCCTGGTCCTACCGGCGCTGAAGAATGTCGTGAAGATCCAGGCGACGGAATCGGCCTTCGCGGCCAGTATGGCCGACGGTAAGGTGTCTTGCTGGGGTGACCCGGAAGCAGGTGGCGACGGCTTCTGGTCCGAGGATGGGGAGGACCTGTGCGGGGTCGTCGACGTACAGGCCACCAGGTTTGCCTTCGCCGCAATCACGTCCAGCGGCTCCGTGTACGCCTGGGGTCACGAGGCGGCTGGAGGCGACCTGGGTGGCCGCGTCATCACGGACGCCGTGGCCATCCAGGCAACAGACCAGGCCTTTGCCGCGATCCTGAAGGACGGCTCCGTGCGGGCCTGGGGCCATGAGACCGGCGGTGGAGACTGCGAGGCCGTGCGGGACCGCTTGGTGAAGGTCCGAGAGATCCAGGCCAACGCCCAAGCCTTCGCGGCCATCTTGGAAGACGGCTCCGTGGTGACCTGGGGCGATGCCGACTTTGGTGGCGATGGGCCGTCATTGCAGAACGTGAGGTGCATCCAGGCCTCGGCAGACGCCTTTGCAGCAATCCTGTATGATGGCTCCGTGGTCACCTGGGGGGATGCCGCGGCGGGAGGAGATAGCAGTGCAGTACAGCATCAGCTGCGGGATGTCGTCCATGTGAGTGCGGGTCTGGGCTTCTTTGTAGCAACTTTGGGCGATGGCACCACCGTACATTGGGGTGCGATCTGAATCCCCTGGCATGGCAACGGCGCCACGGTACAGAGGCGGCGCCTGCCGGTCGAGTTAAAAAGGCGCCCTGTGCTGCAAGTTCGTGAGCCTGCAGTTTGGAGGGCCCTGCCCTCTTGCTCTGCCCAGGTCTCTTCGGCGCGGCGCCTGGACCTTGTCTGTGTCGCCTCTTGAAGTTCGGTATGCTTGTGAAGGGCTGATCTAAATGAATCACTCCCCCTCGCTCCCAGGCCTGGAGTCTTCGGCACGGCTCGCGACGGCTTCGCGCATCGCCTGGGCCCTGGTGCTCTCTTTGCTGCCTCTTCGAAGCCGGCTGGTTGGCATGCTTGTGCATTCGTCGCAGCTTTGTTGATTTCCCGAGCCCCCCAGCTTCAGGGGTAGGTGCGATGGCGCACTTTCGCCGCTCGCAGGCCGTGAACGTGGTCCTCAGCCCCGCGCTGCCAGACCTGGCTCGGGTCGGCGTTCGCCTCGGCTTGGGCGACTATCCGGCCTGCTGCGACCGCCTGCTGGAGCTCCTGGATCCGAAGCTGTGCTCAGAAACTGACCGGATCGGTGTCCAGCAAGCCAACGCTGAGTTGCAGAGGCTCCGGAACAAGCTGGACCTCCTTCCCGAGTCGGAGCTGTCCAAGGCTCTCCAAGAGGCGCAAGGGGCGCCATCTAACGCGGAGCGGCTGTTTGTGACGCTGCCTTCGCAGTCGGCATCTGCCAAGAGCCGCTCCGTTCTTCAAGGGCGAGGTTTGGGAAGGGGCTCCTCTGCTCCCAAGGCCAGTTTGGACAAGTTCATGAAGCAGATGAGGAATACGACCGAGGTTGCAGAGCCCAGCGAGCCGGTGGTTGCGCAGCCCAGCGAGTCGGTTGCAGAGCCCAGCGAGCCAGCGGTTGCAGAGCCCAGCGAGCCGGTGGTTGCGCAGCCCAGCGAGCCGGTGGTTGCGCAGCCCAGCGAGCCCGCGGTTGCAGAGCCCAGCGAGCCGGTTGCAGAGCCCAGCGAGCCGAAGGTTGCAGAGCCCAGCGAGCCGGTTGCAGAGCCCAGCGAGCCGGTTGCAGAGTCCAGCGAGCCGGAGGTTGCACAGCCCAGCGAGCCCGCGGTTGCAGAGTCCAGCGAGCCGGAGGTTGCACAGCCCAGCGAGCCGGTTGCACAGCCCAGCGAGCCGAAGGTTGCAGAGCCCAGCGAGCCGAAGGTTGCAGAGCCCAGCGAGGCAGTGGTTGCAGAGCCCAGCGAGGCAGTGGTTGCACAGTGCAGCGAGTCGGCGGAGCAGGAATCAGCCGAGGAGCCATCCATTCCGGCCTTTGAGAACGGGAAGCTGGGTGAGCCGCTCAAGGAGTACAGGGACCACGTGGTGGCGAGGCAGGAGTTTGAGCACTACGGCCCGGACTGCCCGCTGGAGGTAGTCCGACGCTTCCGGGAGTGCCTCTATCGCGACGAGAAGGACACGGCGAACTTCAATCCCTACTGGGTCGTGCTGGAGTTCCCCACTCGCACTGGTGTGGGGCCGCTGCCAGAGTGGAACGGCGCGATGGCCTTCTGTCTTCGCGAAGGCGATCCCACGAACTTCCTGCTCGTGAGCAAGAACAAGGGCGTCGCGGTGCGGGCCGAGAACGTCTTCAAGGTGAATGGTGAAGAAGGACTGCCTGCCCCCGCTGTTCTCCGCGATCCTCCAGGCCGGCTGGCAGCGGGGCAACATCCGCATCTTCGACAAGGGGGCCTACTACCAAGCCAAGGACCAGGACGCGGCGGAGTTTTCCCCACGGGCGGCGCTCCGAAGCCTGGAGCACCTCGACCCCGT